TTCTTTCTCTCATTTGAAGCTTTTTCGTTCAACAGGTATGAGTAGGCAATCCACTTTTATCCAGATAGCTATGGAGAAGACGATCAGGCATTCACCCAATTACATTCCTCTCACGCCAGCCAGGTTCTTGGAATGATCCATCATAGTGTGGAAAGAATGGATCAAGCTGCTGCATCTGACATTATTAGTTTTATTTTGTCAAAAAAGGATATAGAGAGAGTTTGAGCCATATCAGTTTTATCTAGTCATAATGTACGTGTTCACGTTCATTTAATGAAAAAAAGTTGTTATTTATGAACTTTTTGTTATTTCTGATACATATTTTTCTGCAGCTGATATACATGTTCTGGTATATATGTTATTTATGAAATTTATGTTGTTATTTATGGAGTTTATATCGTGCAAACTTTGCAATTAACTTGTACGGATATTTATGTGTATCATATCAACAAATCTTATGTTGTAAATATATGGACATTGTGTTGTTAGCAAATGGATACTTTCATATTATATACGGAATTTTTGTTCTTCATAAACTTGAGAAACTTTTTCAAATGTTCAGTTTAATCATACAAATCATGTGAAATAGATGGACATTATATTGTTAATAAATGGACCTTGTCATATTATATACAAACTTTTTATTGTTCATAAATTTGAGAAACTTTTTATTAAGCCTAGCCAACTGATAAACTGAATACATATGGATTTTCAGTTTAGAATATATGAACATTGTGTTGTGTATAGTGAATATTATGTTGTACATTGTCTGCTTAACTTGTACATTTTGTTAAACCTAGCCTATTGATAAACTAGACACACATGGACTTTCAGTTGAGAATATATGAATATTGTGTTGTGCATAGTGGATCTTGTGTTGTACATTGTTTGTTTAACTTATTGAAGAAAAAATGGTAGAAAATCATTTGAGATAGTTTGGACATGTACAAAGAAGATCACGGGAGGCACTAGTGAAAAGAGTGGAACATATAACTTTGAGCCCTGTTAAGAGGGGTAGAGGAAGGTATAAGAAAATACTCTTGGAAGTTATTGAATGCAATCTCTTAATTAATAATATTTCTAAAAGCTTGATAAATGATAGAGCATAATGGTGTCTTGCAATCCATGTAGCTGATCCCACCTAGTGGGATAAAGGCTTGTTGTTGTTGTTGTTGTTGTACCTTTATGTTGTTCGGATTTAGTTTTTATTATAAAGACTTCCAATGTTGAATTTAAGAATATATGCCCATTCCAAGCTATATGTATTATGATGAGAGAACCAACTCAATTAAAAAAGCCGATTAAGCATCATCCCATACTATGCAATGGGTGACTCTATATCTAATATTATTTCAAGAGAGCAATATTTCTACTACCATTTTGCTAGTTCTGTTTGCCATCAACACTTGTTCCTTCCTTTTGGTTCGCATTATCACTTGAAATTTGCCCAAAATTAAAGTGTTGCCATGTATCCATAATCAATAGTAGTGATATTTATTTTGAGGCTATTTTATTTTGTTGAACGTAATAATTGTTAGTTACAAAGAATAAGTTTAGTTTGGATAACATTCCAAGGACCACAAGCCCAAAAAGTTCATAAAGGTCGACATTGGATATGATCTAACCCATTAATGTTGTGCATAACTTATTTAATAAAAGGTATGTAGGCGGCACCGGTGACAGACATGAACAGCGAACTACAAACTGCTTGAGTCATGTCTGGAAGGACATTGTGCTTAAGAACTATTCCAGCAGACTGTAACGACGAACCGGCAATTCTCCAGGATTAAACAAGCACTTCCTGTGACAGAGCAAGGGAATAGAACAACAGAGACTAAAAATAGACACAGACAAACATGAGAGCAGAAGGTAAAGGGAGGAGAGAACCCCAAAAACTCAAGAGGCTGGTCACCATTTTCTGTCAGCACCCAGGGGCTATATATAGCCTGAAGACGGAGACACAAACGCTGGCTCATAATCACCGGTTAATGCTTCGGTTACACACATTTTAAACAGCAAAACGTACATTGATTAATGCTTCGGTTACACAGTCCATTAATCCGCAGACGTTTGGCAAACAAACGTTTAAGACATTAACTTCACAAAATCCAAAGGTTTTCGGGTAAGCTAAAAATAATTGTTTATTTAATTTTTAAAAAAAACCCAGTAAAAGGAATACATTGCCTCTTGAACTCATGCACAAGGGGCAAATCGAATGATTTCAACTGCAATTGCCTTGTGTTGGCCTGTCTCATGTGCGCGAGGCCACTTCTCCTCCAAGCCCATTTTACTAGCCCACTTCATTTCATAGTATATATACACTAGGAGAGTCCTTCTTTTAGTTAATGTGGGACTTTGACACACACACACTTTTGACACACATACAACAAGGTATATATACTATAGTATATAATTCACTCTTTCGATCTGTAAACCATTTTGGTGGTTATATCTTGAATGGGATATTCAAAAGCTAGAAATCATTATGGAAAAGCCAACCCATTTAAATAACTAGCTCATTAAGCATTTCATTCTACTCAACATGAAACTCAGCATGTATGTAAAGAAAGGTTAAAAAGAAAAAAAGATCAATATCTCCATGAGATAGAATGATGGGTGAAGAAAAACCTTTTGATAAGAATAAATAGCTAGAAATTGTCTTGGCAAAACCAACTCATTTAAATAGCTAGTCCATTAAGCATCTCATTATGCTCAACATGTTGCGTAATGATTAAAGAAAAGGTTAAAAAAAATAAAGAAAAGATCAATATCTCGATGAGATATAATGATGGGTGGGTGAAGAACCAAAAACCTTTTGGGCTATCGGTCATAGCAACTGGTTGGGGGATCACATAGGCTTTGACACGATCTCCTCCAACATATGCTACCTCTTAATGCCTCCAAAGTTCATCCAGTATTTGACCGCACCAAACGTGCTTTTATTTCTTCTCCCTCAATGTCGTTATTACCACTAATCCTTAATTAATATATAAACAAGATAATTAACCACAAGTGCGTATAACAGAATTAAAAGCACCATATTTTATTTATTAGCACAAGCAAGCTTTTTATTAGGTACCTAGGTAGAGAACGAGAGTGTACGTACGTACCATAGGGTCCCAAAAACACGAGTCCGCAGAGCCAAACCAAATAGGGGATTGCATGCATGAAAATGCCACAACATGTCCAATAATTTTTTGGAACAACATTTTCATATCCATAGATGTGATCGCTTGGGTTTTCTGTATCCGCCATGCTTTCGGGAAGAGCTACGATCAAACATGAACTTGGTCTAATTTTCAGATCACAAGTATAAAGCAAAACTAAGCTAAACAAATAAAACACTTTCTTTTCGTAAACACGAACTTGCCAGTCTGCTGAGATTTCGATGGATGGTAGGTGCTCCTCGATGGTTTCACGTATATACCTTCTGCATGAAAAAGGAAATTATATAAATATAAACAATAATTACTCCCTCCATTGTTTTTTTATAGGCCAAAATAGACAAGAGTTGAATTTTAATATTTATAAAACAATACAATTTACAAAATTTAGGTAGTAATTAATATGATTTTTGATTTTTCAAAAATACCTTTATAAAAATAATGGCCTTAGTTGATAATTAAGAGAGTGGGTGAGAAAAATTTAATTAAGGGTATTTTCAGAACGGAGGGAGTATAATTAAGGGGAGCATACATGCGTACTAGTGATGAAGAGGTCAATTATATTTGTTATACTCTTCAAGTCCTATTTATAGGATAGAAAGATAAAATTAATTTTGATCATGTTTATAGGGTACTTAATTAATTTCTATGTTCATTTTGCATTTATGCTCTTATTAAATGTTTAAAAAATTATTAAAAATAATTGTTTTGTCCTTATTAGGAGAAAGAGATGAACTTATTAAATTTTAAGACAGAATTAATAAGGTTTAAGGTTTTCTCTTTGATTCCAATATAACATGCATCAAGTGATTCATAAATAGAACTAAATGGAGTACTTACACTTATATGCCAACCTGGCATACCATCTAAAATTACTGGTGCTCCTTTCGAAGGCAGAAGGTTCGTCGGCTAGGATATAGAACCCTCAGTTTCCCATTGGTCCTGTTTGATGATTTCAGATGCCAACTCTGCAGTGAATAGACTTGTGTACGTGAGCAAGAATTAATTAGTTAAATGTATCAATAAATAAATCATTAATTAGTTGTAAATTTATAACGGTTCTGCTTCCTCCTACAATATTCACGAGTCAAATTTAGAAATTTACAATTTATTGCATCAATTTTTCAGAATAGTATTTACATTAAAAAAATATTAATCCACAAGTAAATGAAACTTTCACGTATAAACTACACATAATCCAAAATAGAGTTATTAAACTACAAAACTGACATACTGCTTATTTTTTCTTTGGTACTTTAAAACTCAAATTAGTGTCATTTCAAGCTTAGCAAAGGGAGCAAACCGATATATATATAGGGATAATGAACATTCAGGTCATCAATTTTTTTTTTTGAATTATCAACTTGGCTCCTTATATTTTTTTAAATTATTATGTGAGTAATTTAAGTTTTAAAACATAAATGGACTCATGTGTAAATTATATTAATGACATGGCATGTATATATAACTTAATGAGGAAAAAAATTAACCCTTAAATTAGTTTAATTTTTATCAATATAATCCCTTGCACAATGTTTTGTTCTCTTGTTTTTAAAATTTAGTATGTTTTTTTCCATTTAAATAATCATACTTTTTTATATTAATTTAACAATGTAGCTTCCTTTTTAAACATCAAGGACCAAATCCATAACTGAAATAAACTTAGAGGACTGAATTGATAAAAATTAAATTTTAAAAATTAAATCAATATTTGAGTGAGGATTAAAAGTTGCATTATCCAAAAAAAAAAAAGCAACCCAGTGGACCCATTTCCAAAACTGAGTCACCGATTCATTAGCCTAACCGGGGGCAATTCTAGGTTTACTAGTAATTAATTTACTGACCAAAGTAGTCTCGGCTGATGGCACGATGAAGGACTGTCTGGCCATCGCTTGTTCTTCTGCATGGCCCAAGAGACTGGTCGGCGCAACAAGATTGGAGGTAAAAGAAAACTTCCTTATGCCCACTTACAGCAGCCGAGAACAGAGGAGCCTCTCCTTTTTCGTTGCATTCTTCAATCAACACGTGTCTTTGATGATGATGATCAGCTTCAATGATGCACTTACACATCTTGAGTGACCCTATAAATGCTGCACAATGCAACGCTGTGTCCCCTGCAACACTCTTTTGTTTCAAACTCTCCAACGCCAACGATGTCTGCTTAATTTCACGCACCAGCTGCTCAACGGCGTCTGTATTGTTGTCGTTTGCTGCCACATGCAACGCCGTGTCTTCATCGCTGTTGACCGGCATCATGTGATTCGTTGCGTTTTCTTTGTATGCCTTCACCACTTCACTCCATTTACCTTCTAACGTCAAATGGTATAAATCCAATGCCGTCATCGAAAGATGTTCCATAAATAGTGAATCCATGTATTCCATTTTGCAGCAATGCGAGAATTACTAACGAAACTCTCGAGGTCGTGTGGTAGTCACCATGTTGCGTGGCAGCCTTTTATACATGATTGATTACCACACTCATGTCCCTTATGTCTGAAAAAGCACAGAGCAGGAATCTCGGGGAAGCGATTAGAATATGACATTTGCTTTTATGGAAAGGGCGTGGCATTATTATCTTTTGCTCTTTAATTAATGGGCAAGACTTATACCTTTACCTTATATACTTGATATACTTTCATCCAATTAAATTAAGACATATAAATTTTATTATATTAATAATATTAATTACAAAAATTTATTATAAAAATAAATAATCTGTCATAGATATAGATGTTTTGATTTAATTGAAAATAAACACTTTAAGTATATAAATTTAAGTATATAAATTTTTTCCTTAATTAATTTCAATTTTGTTATTTATGTTGTGGAATACGTTGTTTACCACTTCCAATGTGACGACCAACCTTAAAATATTATATATTTATGTTCTCAACAATTTGTTATTTGTTTTAAGTCAGTCGATATATAATTGCTTATATATAATCTATCATATATATTGTTTAACAAATTTCAATCACAACTTTTATTTAAAAAATTATAATTTTTATTCTGTGAATAGAAAAAATTAAACAAATAATCACAATTTTTTAGGTATAATTTTTATTATTAAAAAAAAGTTCTTAAAATAACAAACCCTATCACAACTTTTTGTTTAAAGAATCACAAAAATCGAATAAGAAATAATAACTTGTCAATAAAGATAAAATGATCTTTTTAATTTAAAATTATTGACAAAGAGGTCTGTAAAAACTTCAATAAAATTATGTCATTATAAAGAACTAAATTGTTGTTTATATAATTTGAAGAAATTTTATTATCATTTTTCTAATTTGATATACTCACCTTTTAAATTCAAAGGTATTAATTGCTCCTTAAATTTATGAATTTTCTTCTATTTTGAAATATAGGACTTAAAAAAAGCCTTATATTTAAAACAAACGTAGGATTAATTAATTATCCTTGAAATTAAGTAAAACGTCTAATATATTAAAAATATATTACTTTCCCAAAAAATAAATCTTACATTTAAAACGTATGGAACATATATTATGTTCCTTCGGAGAGATAAAGTATAAAATACTTCATCAAAATAATAGATAAAGTAAAAAGAAATATAACTCCCATGAACAATAACATTCTCTATCTTATTTCATATCGTATGACGTCCTTCATGTTTCCCATATTTCCTTCTCAATTTAGAAATCTTTTTTTGGACGAAAGAAACTGCTACTCATTTAAAAACCAACAAAAGGTCCAGGAATAACAAAGGAAGAAACGAAACTGAAAGAGAAAAAACATCAAAAGAAAAGTCAAATAAAAAACATCGAGTGGGTACACATGCAAGTAAGTATTTCAAATTTATTACCTAATTAGAATGAAAATTATAATATTAATTTAATAAATTTAATTATTTGTATTTTCTTTATAGTGTCTTCAACAATTAAAAAGTATAGAGTGTGGTTATTATGTGATGATTTTTATATATGAAATCATCATTCAATATATTATTCACTCATTTAATCAGATAATAATTTATTAATAATGATTTATATTATGAAGCTTGCTATATACTTGAGTTATTATTCATGTGTATATTGTTATTGAAGTTGCACCACTTTCAAAGTTTAGAGCCATATTCTAAGAATTGAGATATATACGCAATATTTGGACTAGTTTTTTTTTTAGAATTATATAATAGGGTTAGAGTAGAAACTTTCTAAATATTTGTATTGAAAATGTAGATTTTTAGTTGATATGTTTGTACAAGATATATTTGTATTGGTCTCTAAAACTATTGTTTATTTATTAATGCAGATTTTGTAAGAGATGTATATAGCTATAAGTGATTCTATAAAAAAAAATATAATATTTACAGCCACAGTTATAACAATAACTACGGTAAAAGATGCATCTATGGTGATGGTTGTAAATACATCTTTTTTTCACCCCCATAAAGCATTTTTCACCATAGGTGAAGCTTTAATCTGTGGTGAAAAATAACAGGCCAAGCTTAGATTTGTGGCGAAAGATACTATTTTTCACCATAGGTGAAGCTGGGATCTGTGGTGAAAAATTGCTTCTTTTGCCACAGTTCCATTTTGACCTGTAACAAAAAATGTCTATTTACTACTACACAACATTTTATTACACAATGCTTTTTGTCTCCTAAAATGCATTTTAACTATGATGAAAAATGCGTTTTGTGCTAATGGTACTCTTTAGTTTTTTAAGCTTGAATGAAATTTTAAAGGCTTAACTGTTGGCTATAAAAAAAAGGACCTTTGGCTGCAGCTAAAGGTCAAAAATCAAGATTATGAAAATGGTCCATATAATTAGGCCTAAAATATAGCCTAATACCACATAGAGTTCAATTCTAAGTCCTAATTGGTATTCGATAAATTCATTAGCCATCTATATTTAATCTATGTTAACTCCCAAATGTATAATTTGCCTCTAATTACCCAATTAACTTTAAATTAAATTTTTCAAGATGTTGCACCAATCATCCCTAAAAAAGAGTTCATTTGTTGACAGTCATAAACAGAGAGCACACTCCTTCTAGCTTAGGTCCATTCGCAGGCGAAGACACTACTTTGTGTCTCATTCACAGACAATATTAGCCTACAACTTTACTCTCTCTTGAAATTTAATATTAAACCTTAAATCTTAATCTTACATCAATCTTACTTAATTCCTAGTTCATTATTAACCTTTGGTTTAAATTTTTAGAATGTTACACATGCTCAAAAGGTTCACTCCTTGTTCTGCTATAGTAGACATGGAATATGTTTGAGTGACTGTCTGATCTATTGAGTTTTAGCTTTTTTTGCTATGGTAGCCCTGTGTGTTTGGCTTGAATCTTTTTCTATCATAGTTGGGCTCATGTTAGATTATTAGGGTTGCTCTAATATCATCGTGGAGTTTAGGTCAGTCTTTTCCATCATGATAGAGTTAGGTTGTTTCTTTTCTATCATGGTAGGTAAATCCCTCGCTGCCATGATAGGGAATTGCCTAAGGTGGTTTAGTAGTTTAGGTCATCATAAAATGTGCCTGCGCCTTGGTGGGAAATGTTTCTCTCAAAAAAAATCATGAAAAAATCTTGACAAAAATAAAAATTTTAAAAATAAAAATGATTCAAACAATTGTACATGATATTTCTCTCATATTTTTTTTGAAAGAATCTTTCTCTGGCCTATTCCACCAAACTAAATTACTTTATTAGCTAAATAATAATTCTCATTATATTTATAAATTTTAAATTATACACCTTTTTTGGCAAGATTAAATTATATACCTTTATTCTAAAATATTAAATCCGTAATTCCCTTGCCTTCATTTTTAGATTCCCTCCTCCATTTGGTTACTTTGTCTCGGATTCTACTCAAGCTCAAGTCTCATTCAATTCTCTTCTCGAACTCTCAACTTTGGCCTCTATGTTAGTTTCCTTTCTTTCTTATAGTTTGATTTTTTTTCCTTCTCCAAATTCTAGGTTGAATGATTGAATACTGATCTCTTTTCTAAACACCTTTGGGATTGTGTGATTGCTACCTTCTACCTTTGTCAATCTCAGTCTCACAATCTCGCAGCCTTCAACTTTTAGTCTCTGTCCCATGCGTCTCTAGCCCCAATGGATCGCATATGAAGCTCGAGAGCATCAATTAAGAGCTGAATTGGTAGAAAATAAGAAATTTTTAAAGAAGACGATGGCTCAATATTAATTTAAGTTCTCCACCAGCAAACAGGTATTAACTACATATGCTCCTATGATTGAAGATCAAGGAAGCAATGAGTTGATAGTGATGATTAGCCGTATAAGAATTTATTATGACTTTAATTTGGATTACTTATAAACTTGTTTATTCTAGATATACTTTCATAATTAGTTATATTTGTTTGCTGCATCGATGCTTTTATTGGTATTTGAAATTGTCTCTGTAACAGGAAAGGGGCTGAAAGAAACAAAATTTGATATTAATTTAATTTGCCGATTTCTCATGAATTCTCTCAAAAATTTACACGAGAACTATTTTCTCTTGAAAGAAAAATACCTGAATCTGTGTTTCCATTTGTCCATTTCTCTTGAAATTTTTTGACAGAAAATAGTTCTCATAAAATTTGTCAAAAGAAACATACAAAAACTGACATTTCATTTGCTCATTTCTCTTCAATATGTTTGTGAGAAATATTTTCGCTCAACAATTTTCGAGAGTCATTCTCTTAAATAATTGTGAGATTCTTTCGGTATTATTCGAGAGAATAGTTCTCTTTGATATTCTTGAGAGAATTTCTCTCAGCTATTTTTGGATAAACTTTTTCTTAAGATATTTTTAAGGGAAGTTCTCTCAAAATTGTTTGAGAAAAGTGTATTTTCTTGAAATTGTCCAAGAGAATAAACTTCATTTGAAAATTTTTGAGAGAACATAATTTTAGCTACAAGATTTTACTCCCACTTTTTAGAGAAAATTTAAGAGAATTGCCATTTCTCTCAAATTCTGCAGGTTTTCTCTCAAAATTATACTACGAAAAATTTGTTTTTTGTTTGTAATGTTTTAGGAAAGAATGAGAAAATTTTATCTATTGAAATAAAAATCAAATAATATATAGCATATTGTTCATGATATGATATGATACAAATTTATAATTACATTATATACTTAATTGTTGTTATTTAATATACTAATCAAAGGGTGGGACTCTCAAGATCTGAGCTTCAAGTTACTGATTACATTATAACAGGAGATTTTAATACATAGTAGTAAAATTTGAAACGATACAAATATGGGGAAAAAAAATTAAGCGGTATAGCAAGGAAATCGTAATTTCAAATGACTTAAAGTAGCTAGAGTTGTTGATAGCAAAACATAGTTCTTGTCGATAACAAT